AAAAACTGCAGCATATCAAGACTCTGGTAACTCAGTCGAGAGAATGTCCACCATGACAAATCAGACCGAACAGCTTTCTCTGGGAAACAAAGAACCCACAAATTCAGAGTCCAATGCTTCTAATGAAGTTAAAATTGATGGGGTTGAGAAAACTTCTATTCCGAACCTGGACTCCAACGTTATCAAGGCTATCGCTGCAGATGCTTCTGTTTTTGGTTTTGGAGACGATGAAGATTACGAGAGTGAATAAATAACGATTATGGTGTCAGTAACACAAGTGAGAAGGAAAAACAGATTACAGAATTCATTTCCCTTTTCTTTATTGCGTTCTTTATATTTGTTTCAGGATTTTGGAATTTCTTATATTTGTGATAGTAAATTTTCTTCCCCTTTTTACCAAGTGAGAGTGCATCTCTCTGATGGGTTTAATGTCTGAATGCATAAATCTTGGCTGTTTCTGAGTTTGGCACTTGCTCATACGGCCAAAAGTGCTATAGTACTGAAGTTGACGCATTCTTAAGGAATCTGTTCTAACCTCGTACCATTTCTAACCAAATGGAAAAGGTCCGTCGTAAATTCTACTTGTTTAGGTTAGATTAAAACCAAAAGTTGGAGATCCCCAGGTGTCTCTAAGGAAACAATAGAAAATTTTGAGGGTAATTTAGGCTGCCCATTTACTGCAGGACTTCGCCAGATTCTTGTTATCCATCATCAATAGATTGCAGAAATGGAGCTGGATTTTCAATTCGTCTGCATTTGAAATTTTATTGTAGCTCTCAGTTTACCAAATGCCTGGGATGTGGAAACCTCTAACTAGGGTGCTGATCAATAAATTATGTGGTAAATCAATTGCGGAATGTTTGTACTTACAACAATTTCTCGAGATCTCGTCCCCCCGGGGTGTGCTATAAATGTAGTGGACAATCTCGAGATTTTGGACTTGAAGATCATTGGTTCGATTTTGTTCCGCTGCACACGCATCTTTGATCTCACACAGTTTTGATGATTATTGTTATAGCAACAGAAATTATATATATGTTTGTGCGCGCGCTTTTTAAAATCATTTCGATGAGTTTTACAACTATAAGGCACCCCGTTATTATTAAATGACTCGACTTAATGTTGTAAGAGAGATCGAGAGAAAGTAGGTTCATTTCATGTTAATTTTATTTTCTGTTATAAAATGAGAGGAAAAGAGAAAAGAGAAAACTCAAAGAGAATAGAGAAAACTTAATAAACTTTTGTATATATTATTGAAAATCAAAGCCCTATATTTATAGGTAAGAATTAGGGATACAATGATAATAATTTCTAGGGCTACAGGGGTACAAATGTCATTCACCAATAAACTTTAATGGACTTTCCATTTACAACACTCCCTCTTGAATGATATATTACAAAATATCTGCCTCGTTAAAACCTTGTTTGATAAAAACCCAATGGGAAAAAAAATCAAACGAAGGAAAAAGAGTACAGTTATTTTGGAGTATTAAAATTAAATAATGCCTCATTAAAACCTTGCTACGAAAACCCAATGGGACAAAACCTAAGCGAAGGAAAAAGAGTACAGCTACTCCCCCTGATGTTGATCACTGAAAATCTTTGAGTCGACGCATTCTAATCTCATGAATTAATTTCTTGAATATAGATGTTGGCAGCGTTTTTGTGAATAGATCAGCCACATTGTCACTTGAGCGAATTTGTTGAATATCAATGTCACAATTCTTCTAAAGTTCATGTGTATGAAAGAATTTTGGAGAAATATGATTCGTCCTGTCGCCTTTGATATAGCCTCCCTTGAGTTGTGCGATACAAGCTGCATTATCTTCAAACAAAATTGTTGGACTATCTTTTGTTGAAGTCAATCCACATGATGGTTAGATATGATGGGTTATATTCCTCAACCATACACATTCTCGCCCTACTTCATGGATTGCAATAATCTCATAATGATTTGAGGATGTTGCTGTCAAGGATTACTTCACAGATCTCCATGATATAGTTGTTCCTCCACGTGTAAACACATATCCTGTTTATGATTTAGCTTTATATGGATCGGAGAGATAACCTGCATCTGCATATCCCACTAAACCAGATCCTGACTTTTGAGAATAAAATAGTCTCATATCAATAGTACCTTTTAGGTAACGAAAAATATGTTTAACACCATTCCAACGCCTTTGAGTTGGTGTAGAGCTATATCTTGCAAGGAGATTTACAGAAAAGTTATGTCAGGTCGAGTGCAATTTGCAAGATAAGTTAATGCTCCAATTGCATTAAGGTATGGTACTTCAGGATCAAGAATCTTTTCTCCATCTTCAAGTGGACGAAATGGATCTTTTTTCATATCAAGTGATCGAACAACCATAGGTGATGGCAATGAATGTGCATTATCCATATAAAAAGCGTTTCAAGACTTTTTCTGTATAAGTAGATTGATGAACAAATAATCCCTCTGAAAAATGTTCAATTTGTAATCCAAGACAAAATTTGGTTTTCCCCAAATCTTTCATCTCAAATTCATTTTTCAAATAATCTGCAATTTTGTTGAGCTCTTCAGGAGTTCCAATTAAATTTAAATCATCAACATAAACTGCCACAATTGCAAATCCAATATTTGTTTTCTTTATGAAAACACATGGACAGATATCTGTTCGAATTGTTTCAATTCATATAATGATCCTTGCTATTTAATTGATAACATGATTCTCAGGTTTGTATCATTTGTTCCTAACACTTTTCCTTCGAAGTCTTTATATATATATATATATATATGTCACTATCAAGTGAACCATATAGGTAGGCAGTTACTACATCCATACGGCGCATATCGAGCCCTTATGACACGGTCAAACTAATTAAGAACCTAAAAGTGATGGTATCCATTACGAGAGAATATGTTTCCTCATAATCAATTCCCGATCTTTGGGAGAGCCCTTGAGCCACTAGTTGGGCTTTGTGTCTTGTAATTTCATTATTCTCATTTCTCTTTAGTACAAAAACCCATTTGTATCCAAGAGGGATTACATTTTCAGGTGTTCGAACTTTTAATCCAAACACTTTTCGTTTCTCTAAAGAATTCAATTCTGCCTGTATGACTTCTTTCCATTTTGGCCAATCATTTCTATTTCGACAATCATTAACAGACTGTGGTTCAGGATCCTCATTTTGCATAATATCAAGAGCCATATTAAAAGCGAAAATATTGTCTATAACAATATTATTCCGTTCCCAAAATTTATGAGATATCATATAATTTATTGAGATCTCATTATTTTCGGACACCTCTGGTTCTTCAGGAACCGTACATTCAATATTTGATTGATCAATCTTTTCTAATGTGATTTCTTCTGAAGTCTTTTGGTTGGTTTTTCTCCTGTACTCTTCTTTTTCGAGGTACAGAGTCTTTTGAACCAACTGGTCGACCACACTTCTAACGTATTTGAGATTCATTTGCCACAGCAGATTGTCCTGCAGGGACATTGATTTTTGCTGAAATATTTTCTGCTGGAATATATGACTGTCACTTTTCTCGTGTCAACAAATACATTAGGTAGTTGAATTGATCTCTTTGCAAATGAATGATTTTTTCAACCTCTTGTTCACATTAATTGCTGCGGGGATCAAAGTGAGATAGAGTTATCTCATTCCAAGAAATTCTATCTTGTTTTTCAGGATGTAGTTTTTCTCTTCCCAAAGTTGGGAAAGTCATTTCATCAAAATGACAATATGCAAAACGTGCAGTAAATAAGTCACCCATTAAAGGTTCAAGATATCTAATAATAAATGGTGAATCAAAACCCACATAAATCCCAAATCTTCGTTGGGGACCCATTTTAGTACGTTGTGGGAGTGAAATAGGAACTTGGACAGCACAACCATGAGAAATATCAGGTTTATGACCAAATGCAAGTTGCAAAGGTGAATATTGATTATAGGCAGTTGGTCTTATACGAACCAATGATGCAGCATGTAATATGGCATGACCCCAAACAAAAGTTGAGAGTTTTGTTTTCATAAGTAATGGTCTAGCAATAAGTTGTAGACGTTTAATAAACGACTTCGCTAAACCATTTTGTGTATGAACATGTGCAACTGAATGTTCAATTTCAATCCCAATTGATATACAATAATCATCAAATGCTTGTGATCTAAATTCATCAGCATTGTCAAAAAGAATAGTCTTGATTGAGTAATCGGGGAATTGTGCTCACAATTTTATGATTTGAGCAAGTAGTCTAGCAAATGCTACATTCCTAGTTGAAAGTAGGCAAACATGTGACCATCTTGTAGAAGAATCAATTAATACCATAAAGTAACGAAATGGTCCACATGGTGGGTGTATTGGTCCATATATATTTCCATGTATTTTTTTTAAGAAAGTTGGAGATTCAATATTGACCTTTGTAGTTGAAGGTCTAATGACTAACTTGCCTTGCGAACAAGCTACACATGGATAATCATTAGATATAAGAATCTTCTGGTTCTTTAAAAGATGTCCATGTGAGTTATTTATTATTCGACGGATCATTATGGCTCTTGGATGTCCAAATCGATCATGTCAAAGAATAAAACTTTTTGAATTAACGAACTTCTGGTTCGTAACATTATTTGATTCGACCATTTTTATAAATGTAAAATACATGCCAGACGGGAGTGCATGAAAATTTTCTTTTATCTACTTCTTGCCAGATACAAAAGAAGTGATGCAAAGATGTTCAACATTATTTTCTTGCATCGTCTCAATGTGATATTCATTGCAGCGAATATCTTTAAAACTAAGCAAATTTCTTCTGGATTTGCTATAATAAAGTGCATCGTTAATATATAATTTTGTATTATTTAGTAAAATAATACAAGCTCTTCCGGAGCCTTCAACGATATTCGACGCACCCGATATCGTGTTAACATTATTTTCCACTAATATTAAGTTCAAAAAATATTTTTTGTTTTGAAGAATAGTATATGTAGTTGCACTATCAATTAAGCAGCTGTTTTGACTATCCATCATGAATCTATAAATATAACAAAATAAACAAAATTTAAAAAAAAAACTTGAATTTAGATTTAAAGAAGTAAATATTACTTAATATCATGAAATAAACGGTGCATAATAGAGTTTTATTTTATTTTTTTGTGCGAAAAAGTAAAAACATATTTCAGACTGAATTTTTAAAACGAAAGAAATACTAGTAAATTAATCTATATCTTCTATCACACCATCCACAACCAAATAGTCAATATTTTCATTTAGATTAGTGAAGAAATCGGAGACATCCAAATGAGTCACATCAATTGGGCCATCATAATCAGCAAAATTAGTCTCCAATTTTTTCTTTTCCCTTGATTGATCTCTGGTAGAGATCCACAAGATATTTTGAAGTACGACACATACGTGCCCAATACCCTTTCATTCCACATCTGAAACAACTTTCTTCATGCTCCTTTTTAGATTTGCCACTTTCGCTTACTTTGTGCCTTTTGAATTTATTGCCTTGTTGTTGATAACTTTGTTGATTATTTCATCCATGATTTATTTCACGTACACTTCCGTGTCCACATCCAAATCCGTGCCCACGTCCACGTCCACATTCGCATCCACGTCCTTTTCTTGATATTATATTTGCTTCAGACAATGTAGTCCCATTTGCTTCAGGCAATGGTACAGAACCAGTTGGATGTAATTCATGATTTTTCATCAACAATTCATTATTTTGTTCAGCAATTAGTAGGCAAGATATAAGTTTTGAGTACTTTTTGAAGCTACGCTCACGATATTGCTGCTGCAGGAGCACATTCGAGGCATGAAAGGTGGAGAAAGTTTTTTCCAATATATTTTCATCGGTGATTTTTTCTCCACACAAAGTCAACTTTGAACATATTCTGAATAATTCAGAATTGTACTCACTAACCGTTTTAAAGTCTTGCAAACAAAGATACATCCACTCATAACGGGCTTTGGGGAGGACTATAGTCCTCTGATGATCAAATCTTTCAGTTAACTTTTTACAAAGAACTTGTGGATCTTTCTCAGTGAGATATTCAATTTTTAATCCATCGTGAAGATGGTGACGGAGGAAAATGAGTGCTTTTGTACGATTCTGCAGGGATTCATTCTTTCCTTCTTTTATTGTCTCTCCCAGACCCTTTGAGACGAGATGGATATCAGCATCCAGTATCCATGACAGATAATTTTTACCAGATATGTCAAATGCAGCAAACTCAAGTTTCGTAATGTTTGTCATTTGTTTAACTATACAATAAAAAAATACAATTAGTTTCGAAGAATATGATTAATCATCACATGTTAATCAAATAGTCAATATCAACATGACTTTAAGTTACGTGTTTTCCTCTAGGGATAAACACTAATTGAAAATAATATGTTCTTCGAAACATATGCTACTTTTGGAGCACATTATATTTTGTTATTATTTCTTCAAGTGCAATATTTCAATATTCTTCTGGAATATTGAAAGTTATAATTTATGCTCTTCAGGAGCAAATAATATTCTTATAATATTGTGCTACTTCTGGAACAACAACGAATATATCTATAATTAATATTCTTCTGGAATATTAATTATAATATTGTGCTACTTCAGGAGCAACAACAATTAAAAATAAAT